TGCAATAAAAGTATTTAACTCTGTTTCCAAATATATTTAGAAACACTTTATCCAAAGCTCTGACAACTTCAGTGAGTTACGAGAACACAAATTTTGAAAATTTTTCCAGCTGTAAAATTTAAAATATTTAGAAAATCCGAAATATTTTGCAACGTGAAATAAACTTGATAATTTGCAATAATATTTTTAGTAAAAAATTTTGACGTAATCTTTCCAAGAATGTTTTTTTTTAGATCATCGATGTTGGCCATTACTGCGATTTTGATAATTTAAAAAATTTTGCAATTTAGGAAAATCTTCTTGGCTATAAAACAAAGATTCATTGTTACCGCCTTGGGTATCCAAAGCTCCCACAACTTCAGCGAATTACGAGAATACAAATTTTGAAAATTCTGAAAATCTTCTCAGTTGTAAAATTTTACATAATTTAAAAAATCCGAAATATTTTGGAATATGAAATAAACTTGATAATTTGCAATATCATTTTTAGTAACAAATTTTGACGTAATCTATACATTCCAAGAATGATTTTTCAAAACCATCGATTTTGGCCATTACTGAAATTTTAAAAACTCCGAAAATTTAGAAATTTTGAAAAACCTTAGCTACGAAGCTCGAGTTATGAGAATACAAATTTTGAAAATTCTGAAAATCTTCCCAGTTGTACAATTTTAAATATTTAAAAAAATCCAAAATACTCGTATTTTGCAACGTGAAATAAACTTCATAATTTACAATAACATTTTTAGTAAAAAATTTTGACGTAATCTATACACATTCCAAGAATGATTTTTTCAAAATCATCGATGTTGGCAATTACTGAAATTTTGAAAATTCCAAAAATTTAGAAATAGCTTCTTGGCTATATATCCAAATTCATTGTTAACGTGTTGGGTATCCAAAGTTCTGACAACTCACCGAATTACAAGAATACAAATTTTGAAAATTCTGAAAAACTTCCCAGTTGTAAAATTTTAAATATTCAAAAAACCCGAAGTACTTTGCAACGTGAAATAAACTGGAGAATTTGCAATAACATTTTTAGTAAAAAATGTTGACGTAATCTATACACGAGAATACAAATTTTGAAAATTTTGGAAATCTTTCCAGTTGTAAAATTTTAAATATTTAAAAGATCCGAAACATTTTTCAAGGTGAAATAAACTTGATAATCTGCAGTCATATTTTTAGTAAAAAAAAATTAATGTAATCTATATACACTCCAAGATTTTTTTTTCCAAATTATCCATGTTCGCCATTACTACAATTGTGAAAATTCCAAAAATTTTGCAATTTTTAAAAATCTTGGTTATAAATCAAATATTCATTGTTAACGTCTTGGGCTATCCAAAGCTCTGACAACTTCACCGATTTACGAGAACACAAATTTTGAAAATTCTGAAAATCTTCCCAGTTTTGTAAAATTTTAAAAATTTTAAAAAATCCGAAATACTTTGGAACGTGAAATAAACTGGAGAATTTGCAATAACATTTTTAGTAAAAAATTTTGACGTAATCTATACACGAGAATACAAATTTTGAAAATTCTGGAAATCTTTCCAGTTGTAAAATTTTAAATATTTAAAAAATCCGAAACATTTTTCAAGGTAAAATAAACTTGATAATCTGCAGTAATATTTTTAGTAAAATAAATTAATGTAATCTATACAGACTCCAAGAATTTTTTTTCAAAATTATCGATGTTCGCCAATACTACAATTGTGAAAATTCCAAAAATTTTGCAATTTTTAAAAATCTTGGTTTTAAATCAAACATTCATTGTTAACGTCTTGGGCTATCCAAAGCTCTGACAACTTCACCGATTTACGAGAACAAAAATTTTGAAAATTCTCAAAATCTTCCCAGTTTTGTAAAATTTTAAAAATTTAAAAAAATCCGAAATACTTTGCAACGTGAAATAAACTGGAGAATTTGCAATAACATTTTTAGTAAAAAAATTTGACGTAATCTATACACGAGAATACAAATTTTGAAAATTTTGGAGATCTTTCCAGTTGTAAAATTTTAAATATTTAAAAGATCCGAAACATTTTTCAAGGTGAAATAAACTTGATAATCTGCAGTAATATTTCTAGTAAAAAAAAATTAATGTAATCTATACAGACTCCAAGAATTTTTTTTCCAAATTATCCATGTTCGCCATTACTACAATTGTGAAAATTCCAAAAATTTTGCAATTTTGAAAAATCTTGGTTATAAATCAAACATTCATTGTTAACGTCTTGGGCTATCCAAAGCTCTGACAACTTCACCGATTTACGAGAACACAAATTTTGAAAATTCTCAAAATCTTCCCAGTTTTGTAAAATTTTAAAAATTTAAAAAAATCCGAAATACTTTGCAACGTGAAATAAACTGGAGAATTTGCAATAACATTTTTAGTAAAAAAATTTGACGTAATCTATACACGAGAATACAAATTTTGAAAATTTTGGAAATCTTTCCAGTTGTAAAATTTTAAATATTTAAAAGAACCGAAACATTTTTCAAGGTGAAATAAACTTGATAATCTGCAGTAATATTTTTAGTAAAAAAAATTAATGTAATCTATACAGACTCCAAGAATTTTTTTTCAAAATTATCGATGTTCGCCATTGCTACAATTGTGAAAATTCCAAAAATTTTGCAATTTTTAAAAATCTTGGTTATAAATCAAATATTCATTGTTAACGTCTTGGGCTATCCAAAGCTCTGACAACTTCACCGGTTTACGAGAACACAAATTTTGAAAATTCTCAAAATCTTCCCAGTTTTGTAAAATTTTAAAAATTTAAAAAAATCCGAAATATTTTGCAACGTGAAATAAACTTGATAATATCCAAGTTTCATTGTCAACGTCTTGGGGTATTCAACGCTCTAACTTCACCGAGTTACGAGAATACAAATTTTGAAAATTCTGAAAATCTTACCAGTTTTAAAATTCTAAATATATTGCAAGACAAAAAAACCCGGACATTTTAATATTTGTAACTTTCCGCTAATGTTCAGTGTAATGACTTGTTTTATTTTCTTTTTCTTTTTTCCACAAGTTTTAGCATAAATTTAGCCATATTTATATATTAATGTTTTGCATTTTAGATTTTTTTTTTATAAAACTTCCGACTAATCGTAACTAATCACAAAAATTCAAGTGTCGGGGTTTTTTGTCTGGCAGTGTATTTAAAAAAATCTGAAATATTTTGAAAAGTGAAATAAAGCAAGTTTATTATACGTTTCAAAATTTATATAATTTATGTAACATTTTTGGTAAAAAAAAAGTGTGTAAACAATGATGAAAATTAAAAGAGGGTAAGCATAAGTAAATGTCACATATTCTCCACTACAGGATTTTTAATAAACTTAAATTTAATAAGTACTAACTTTTTCGGGCGACGTCATCTGTTTTTCGGAAGAAATGTGTAAGTAAAATCTGGTTAATGTTCTCTAACTACTTTCATGTTTTCTTGACGTTTCATTAGCCCAAGAGTCCGAAAAAAAAAGGTCTCCGTTTCCGTCCGTTTGCTATCTGTCAATTTTTATTAGACAGATAATCATAGAAACTACCGGACCGATTGTTGTCAAATTTTATATGTATGTTAGACGTATCAATAGGTGGTAAAACGTAAACCAAAATTTGCTTCATTCCCAACAACAATATGACCATGTCCTCACAAAATTCTTCATAGTAAGTACTTGTGGTTTATGAATCCACCTTGACGTTTTTCCCGAGGCATCCAAATTTTTGCAAAAAAAAAAAAAAACGTTATTGGTCCGGTCATTGCTTAAGATTGCGCATGTTCGACTGGTGCTGCTATTACCTTTTTTTATTGATCAAAACAAGAATGGTACACCCCATTGTTTTAATATTAGTATTACATTGCACGTGTCGAAATTGACATACGTGTCCTTGCTGATATGTTGATAGGAACATTTTCAAATCGGAAAACTCACTATACATACAGCCATACATATTGCCTTTCGCAATTGTTAATCTGTTTCCAATTATTGATGGAGAAGTGCACTCCAGATCAAATATAAACAAGTTAACACAGTGTGTTTTCGTAACATAGTGCGTTCAAATTAAAGGCAGTGGCGGAGCATGGGTGATTAAAGTGTGATACATTACCGAATTGAAAAAAGTAAACTCTACAAGAATCTTTAGAAAGATGTATATAGGGTGTCATGAAAAAAGGTTGGATATAGTAGACAAATTAAAAAAAAATAAATAAAGCGTGTATAGAGGTTGATGATAATTTTTCAAAGAAGCGGGATTTGTTGGACTGTACTTTATGGACGAGAGAAACAATGAAATGATAAAATGCAAACATGAACTGTATTAGAAATCACTAAAATTATTCCACCACTTTAAATTAGCGTAATTACAAATGAATCAGACAAAATTATTCTTCTCATTGGGTTGGATTTATATTTTGTATTACACTTTGAATAAAGTATGATACAATATTGTATTCTATTTTTTTTTTAGGATTGCATAGTTGCATACAGTACAATAACAAAATTTATAACAAAAGCACAAAACCCTGTAATAATAATGAAAATCTAAAAAAATGAAAAACGATTAAAATTTAAATGCCAAAGCGGAGCAAAATTTTTTAATAAAGTCGCAATATTACAAACCGTAAAAGTAGGACAACAAAACAACATTAAAATACAAAATATGTTTTTAAAAACAAGTTATTCTGGCAGGCACCAGTAAACTCTACTGTAAAAATACGGGTCTGTTGAAGTATGGATTTGGGAATACATTGATAGCCGAGTTCGCACGGTTTGTTTCCACACGAGTTTAGTTTTTTACTTTGTCAGTTTTTTCGAAACCTTTCTACTAACATCTTTTAATTAACTATCCGTTATTCACATAACCACTCCGCTAAATCCACATTTCCCTTTGAACAGTTTGAACGCTTTATTTTCAGCGCGTAGATTTCAACAAAACCCACGAAATTAATTTCTCTTCCAATCAAACATCCAACTATCCTTACCTCTTCCAAACCGCTTCGTAAACATCCCCATACTGTCCCCCTCCCAATTTATGCTTCATCACGATGTCTGTCCTGTTGATCTCCCACTCGTCCGGCTCCGGACTCAACGGGAACACCGTCGGCTTGTTGTGTTTAGGTGCCGGATACAACAGTTGCGTTATTAATCCGTCCGCCAACATCGAATGGTGATGGACTAGCTCGGCCAAAGTATTGAACTTGCTCTCGGCCGTTACGAAAACTTTACCCTCCGCATCCTCGTTTATCCTGTAGTGGTAAACACGACCCTCGTAACGTAGGGATATGCTTCTTTGTCCGGGACTGCTTTCCGATTCGCGGACCAAGAAGCTACCGTTTATTCCCGAGCTTAGCAGATATTCGGCGGCGTTTCGCGAAATCGGGCCGTGGTACCACGAGTGCTTCTCGAGGGAGTTGACGGGGGTGACGTAGTTGGAGGGTACCCAGCCGATTTGGTTCGAGGTGGAGTGGGCTTCGCACCATTCGCCGCTCTTGTTGTAACTCAGGATGCGGACTTGTTCTCCTGAAAAAAAAAAGAAACATTTTAATACTGTTGTAGAATTTTTTAACATCGATGGAAAAATAGCATATAAATGAGGTTCTCCTAAATCAAATATGTAATTTATACCATTTAACATAGTTCTAAAATTATTGTATAATATATCTTAATTTGGGGAGGAACAGTGAAATACCAGTTGCATTCGATTTAAATGACCAATCCAATCACACATAATCTATAAATAATATTTGTATCTTATTAAAAAGCTATTTAGTTTCACAAATATGTATATATTTTACGAAGTCAGTTACTTGAAATTAGAATGTTATCTTCCTGTTCATTCCAAAAATTAGTGACGTCAATTAAGTATTAAATAAATCAACTTTTTTTTTTGAAGTAGATTAGAGCCACTTCCCTAAGCGCAACTGAAGAATACAAAGATTAACATATTTACAGTGATAATCTAAATACAATAGATATGATTTATATTCATACGTACGTAGAATCAAGAATTTTAAGAACATCAAAAAATAATTTAAAAAAACTAGTAACTTTGGTTTTGTATGTGGAATTCAGTTACAAATTGTGTTTACATATGTATCCAAATATGTGTATAAGTAATAAAAAGCTGTATACAAACATGACTATGTAATAACTCATTCGTGAATTATTTACTACCTCAAGTTGCATGAAAAATGACTTATAGTAAAGTTCCAAGTGAAATTTATTGAAAAATAATATGTAACGCAATATTTATTGTTTGAACGTCGCTAACATTTTTCAGCTTGCAATCGAGTCCATCTGCCGACTCCTTACTTTTATGTTTTCTCGACCTATCATGACCCCTAGACTACGAAGAAATAGGTCTCCCGTTTCCGTCTGTCCGTTTATCTGTCTGTCTGTCGTCTGTCCAGATTTTTATTAAACTGATAATCTCCGAAACTACGGGACAGATTGTTGTAAAGTTTTGTATGTATATTAAGAATATATATCATGTAGGTGGTAAAACGCCAACCAAAATTTGGCTAATCATCCCCACCACCAGTTGATGCCGTTATCTCCAAAATTTACAATAGTAAACTTGTTTTTATTTCCATAAAACGAGATACTCTTGTAACATTTTTCGAAAAATCTGGATTTATTTACCTTCGAGCAATTTTTGAAAGCACATTTTTTGATTTTTTCATTTTCTTTAATTTTTCAAATTTTCAATCTGTGGTTTTTCAATTCCTCGATTTTCTAAACTTAAAATTTTTCAATTTTGCAATTTTACAAAATTTAGGGACACTATATAATATTTTCACTGAGACCAAGTTAACCACGCATTTAACGAGGTGTCGTCTGTCAGTCACGTGGTACTTTAACGCCCTGTCAAAAATTTAATTGCGATCAAATATTTAATTGAGCTTCTTTTTGTAAACCGGATATTAGTTTTTTCGATTTTTAACTTTCTCAATTTTTAATCTTTAGATTTTTCACTTTTTCGTTTCTTCACTTTTTCAAATTTTTGATTTCTAATTTTTAGATTTTTCAAAGTTGTCGTTTTATACTTTTTTGTTTTTGCATTTTAGATTTTTCTCTTTTACAATTGTGCAATTTTTCTCTTTTACAATTGTGCAATTTTTCTGTTTTTTATTGGAAAATCAGAAAAATCGAAAAACTAAAAAATCGGAAAATCACGAAAAATCGAAAAATTGCAACATCGAAAAGGTGGAAAATCGAAGAACTGCAGAAACGAAAAATCGAGAAACCTAAAAATTGAAAAAAATTAATGAATCGAACAATTCCAAAGGAAAAAAAACGAATTCAATCGAAAAATTGGAAAATCCGAACACTGTAAAATCGAAAAATTAATGATCAAAAAATTGAAAAATCTAATAATGAAAAATGGTAAAAGGCAAACCGTAAAATTGAAGGAGTGAAAAAATTTAAAATAAAATTATTATTACAAACATATTCAAAATAAAAACTAGAAATTGCTAATCAAAAACTGAAGAACCGAAAAACTGGAAAATCGGGAAACTGAAAAATGTAAAAGTTGAAAAAATAAACATAATAAAAACTGAAAACTCCTGAAATTGCAAATCGAAAAATTGTAAACTCTAAAAATTAAAACATCGAAAAAGTTGGAAAATCGGAAAACTAAAAAATTTTAAAATGAAAACTCGAAGAGATGTATATTGTAAAACTAAAGACAAGAAAAAATAATACATCGAAAAATTGTAAATCGAAATATTGAAGCCCCGAAAAATTCAAAAAATTAAAATTGACAAAACAGGAAATTATAAAATTGGAGCATTGAAAAATCTAAAAATTGTAAAAATAAAGAAAAAAAAAACCGAAACCAAAAATTGCAAATCGGATAATTGAAGGCGCAAAAAATGAAAAATTGAAAAGCATAAATCGCATTGAAGAAACGAAAAATTGAAAAAATGAAAATAAAAACCGAAAAGAAAAATTTGATATCAAAAAATTGAAAATTTCAAAAGTTAAAAAACTAAAAATTTTAAACTTGAAAACTCGAAGAGATGTATATTGTAAAATTAAAGACACAAAAAAATGGTAAATCGAAAAATTGCAAATCGAAAAATTGAAGACACGAAAAATTCAAAAAATTGAAATTGAAAAAACACAAAATTATAAAATCGGGGCATTGAAAAACCGAAAAATTGTAAAAATAAAGAAAAAAAACCGAAACCAAAAATTGCAAATCGAAAATTTGAAGAAATGAAAAACTAAAGGATCGCAACATTGGAAAATCTAAAAGTTGAAGGCGCAAAAAAATGAAAAATTGAAAAGCACAAATCGCATTGAAGAAACGAAAAATTGAAAAATTAAAAATGAAAAAATGAAAATTAAAACCGAAAAGAAAAATTTGAGATCGAAAAATTGAAAAATTCAAAAGTTGAAAAACTGAAAATTTAAAACTTTAAAACTCGAAAAGACGTATATTGTAAAATTAAAAACACAAAAAAATGATAAATCGAAAAATTGAAGACACGAAAAATTAAAAAAATTTACATTGAAAACACACAAAATTATAAAATCGGAGCATTGAAAAATCGAATAATTGTAAAAATAACGAAAAAAAACCTGAAACCAAAAATTGCAAATCGAAAATTTGAAGAAATGAGAAACTAAAGAATAGAAAAATTGCAAAATCGAAAATTTGAAGAAATGAAAAACTAAAGAATCGAAAAATTGCAAAATCTATACATTGAAGGCGCAAAAAATTAAAATTTGAAAAATCACAAATCGCATTAAAGAAATGAAAAATTGAAAAAATGAAAAACTGAAAATTTTAAACTTCAAAAATCGGAGAGACGTATATTGTAAAAATAAAGAAAATAAAAATCCGAAACCAAAAAGTGCAAATCAAAGATTTGAGGAAATGAAAAACTAAAGAATCGAAAAATTGCAAAATCTAAAAATTGAAGGCGCAAAAAAATGAAAAATTGAAAAATCGCAAATCGCATTAAAGAAACGAAAAATTGAAAAATTAAAATTGAAAAAATGAAACTTAAAACCGAAAAGAAAAATTTGAGATCGAAAAATTGAAAAATTCAAAAGTTGAAACACTGAAAATTTTAAACTTTAAAACTCGAAGAGACGTATATTGCAAAAGTAAAGACACAAAAAATGATAAATCGAAAAATTGAAGACACGAAAAATAAAAAAAATTTACATTGAAAACACACAAAATTATAAAATCGGAGCATTGAAAAATCGAATAATTGTAAAAATAAAGATAAAACCCGAAACCAAAAATTGCAAATCGAAAATTTGAAGAAATGAAAGACTAAAGAATCGAAAAATTGCGAAATCAAAGATTTGAAAAAATGAAAAACTAAAGAATCGAAAAATTGCAAAATCTAAACATTGAAGGCGCAAAAAATTAAAATTTGAAAAATCGCAAATCGCATTGAAGAAAAGAAAAATTGAAAAAATGAAAAACTGAAAATTATAAGCATGAAAATTCGGAGAGACGTATATTGTAAAAATAAAGAAAATAAAAATCCGAAACCAAAAATTTGAGAAAATGAAAAACTAAAGAATCGAAAAATTGCAAAATCTAAAAACTGAAGGCGCAAAAAAATGAAAAATTGAAAAATCGCAAATCGCATTAAAGAAACGAAAAATTGAAAAATTAAAATTGAAAAAATGAAACTTAAAACCGAAAAGAAAAATTTGAGATCGAAAAATTGAAAAATTCAAAAGTTGAAAAACTGAAAATTTTAAACTTTAAAACTCGAAGAGACGTATATTGCAAAAGTAAAGACACAAAAAATGATAAATCGAAAAATTGAAGACACGAAAAAAATTTACATTGAAAACACAAAATTATAAAATCGGAGCATTGAAAAATCGAATAATTGTAAAAATAAAGAAAAAACCCGAAACCAAAAATTGCAAATCGAAAATTTGAAGAAATAAAAGACTAAAGAATCGCAAAATTGCAAAATCAAAGATTTGAAGAAATGAAAAACTAAAGAATCGAAAAATTGCAAAATCTAAACATTGAAGGCGCAAAAAATTAAAATTTGAAAAATCGCAAATCGCATTGAAGAAAAGAAAAATTGAAAAAATGAAAAACTGAAAATTATAAAACTTGAAAACTCGGAGAGACGTATATTGTAAAAATAAAGAACATAAAAATCCGAAACCAAAAATTGCAAATCAAAAATTTGAGAAAATGAAAAACTAAAGAATCAAAAAATTGCAAAATCTAAAAATTGCAGGCGCAAATAAATGAAAAATTGAAAAATCGCAAATCGCATTGAAGAAACGAAAAATTGAAAATGAAAATTAAAACCGAAAAGAAAAATTTGAGATTAAAAAATTGAAAAAGTGAAAAATTGAACTTGAAAACTCGAAAAATTACAAATCGAAAAACTGAAGAAACAAAAAAAAATTGAAGAATTGAGAAATTCAATTCAAAAAAGCTGCGGGAATATTATTTGCGCCACTGGTTTTTATTTTATAGAGGTTATCAGAAAACAAATATCGCAAACATTTTTTGTAAT